TTGTCTAGCGTGTGATGTGTTGGGCGTGATTTGTGTCTCTGTGTGTGCATGTAGCTCTGACGCCCCAGGAGGCCCCAGGAGGCCCCAGGCGGCCTCAGCAGGCCCAGGAGAACTCCAGGAGGCTCCGAGGCGGGGTCTGGGGTACCAGAAGGTCCAGAAAGCACCAGGAGGCCCCAGGAGGTTCCAGGAGGCTCCCAGGAGGCTCCGAGGAGGGGTCTGGGGCTCGATGTTGGGAGGATGTCTCAGGCGAAACCGCCATTCTCTGCGAATCGCGGTCAAAATTATTGAAATTACCAGGTGTTTTTGAAGGTTTTATGTTAACATGTTGAAATTCCCATGTGCTTTTGACACTGACGTCACGGTTTGCGTGAGGGGCACCACCGGTTTTCAGAATGTCGACGATGTCCCGAGCGAAACGGCCAGAAAAATCGCGGACGACGTGCGCATCAATCGCCTCTGAGCTCTACTCCCTCGGAGAGGTGCGTATGAGAATATATAGTTGTGTATATATATACACATACATATACACAAGTGGCACGTGTGTGCCCAGGCTCATACAAAAAAAAAAAAAAAAAAAAAAAAAACTGAAGGGGCGTTTGAAGCAGGAGTGAACTGCAACATCGAAGTCGCACTCGAGCGCAAGTGGGGTTGCCACACCTTGCGATGCGCGTACCAGGGCCCCCAGGAAGCCTTAGGAGGCCCGACTTGGACACCAGAAGAGGCTCCAGGAGGCCCCAGGATTGTGAGTGTTGTGTGTGTGTGTGTTTGTGATGTATGCTTCGTGTGGTGCGTGTTTTTTGTGTGTTGTCGGTGTTGTGTGTGTGTGTGTGTGTGTGTGTGTGTGTGTGTGTGTGTGTGTGTGTGTGTGTGTGTGTGTGTGTGTGTGTGTGTGTTTGTGTGTGTTATGTTTGTCTAGCGTGTGATGTGTTGGGCGTGACTTGTGTCTCTGTGTGCATGTAGTTCTGAAGCCCCAGGAGGCCCCAGGCGGCCCCAGGAGTTCCCAGGAGACCCCAGGATGCCTCAGGAGGCCCCAAGAGGCCCCAGGAGGCCCCAGGAGGCCCCAGGAGGTTTCAGGACACCCCCAGGAGGCTCCGAGGCGGGGTCTGGGGTGCCAGAAGGTTCAGAAGGCCCAGGAGGTTCCAGGAGGCCCCCAGGAGGCCCCGAGGCGGGGTCTGGGGCTCGATTTCGAAAGGATTTTTCAAGCGAAACCGCCATTCACTGAGAATCGCGGTCACAATTCTTGAAATTACCATGTGTTTTTGAAGGCTTTATGTTAAAATGTTGACTTTCCCATGTGTTTTTGGACCCTGACGTCGCGATCTGCGTGAGGGGTGCCACCGATTTTCAGAATTTCGAGGATGTCCCGAGCGAAACGCCCAGAAAAATCGCGAACGCGTGCGCACTAATCGCTTCTGAGCTCTACTCCCTCGGAGAGGTGCGTATGAGAATATATATATATATATATATATATATATATATATAATATATATATATATACATACACGTTTGGAAATTGACGGGGAGGAAGTTTCTTTGGCCGAAAAACGTGGTTGTACAATTTTGGGGATTCGCGATTTTCGAGGAACTGGCAAGCGCGTCTCGGTTTCCCTTGTGAGGGTCGCGCCTCGCGCCCATTCCTCCGACTGTCGCGGATCCTTGATTTTGTCCCATCCGGTGTTTTGGGCTTCCGAGGGGCACGTCCTATTCCCCTCGCCCCCTTTCCTTCCCGCTTCTTACTTGAGAAGTACAGCCGGTGCATGTGCTCAGCAGTGAGAGGGTTTCGGGGCTGTCAATGGGGTAGATTGGGTCGTTCGCGAAACAATATCGGAACGACAACCTGCAATTTTCAACAATCATTGAACATCGGCATGCTATTTTCAATCATATTTCTCCTGAGGGTAAACGTGTTGAAAATCGGCGCGCCATAGCCACCATTAAAAATATCCCCCCTCCTTCTTCCTCTCCGAGCCTATGTGGCATGTTGGATTCGCTCGTGCATGCTGCATGCGACTGCTCGAGCCCAGCCCATTCTCCCTCACTCCTCATTCACTCCCCAGTCGCCTCGATCGCTCCCCTGTTCACTCCCTCACCCCCAAACCATTCCGCATTAGCCATGTTGGCTCAATCTATGCGGCTGCGAGCCTCCACCAGAGACCTAGCTACCTGCTCTTGAGCGCAGCTGAGAGCTGCGACAGCGACAGCTACACATGGCTGCTGGTCCTGCGGCCAGCGCTGACGATGAAGAGAAGCATATCGTCCCTCGCACAACCGATCGAACCATTCAGTCAAAGTGCGGCGCAAACTCAACCGATTTGGAGTACCAGCAGAACATCGACGATGAGTTTTGCATCGTCAGCGATTATCACATCAAATATATGACGAGCAAGAAGACGCGGCGAATCACGCGAAACCCTTACAACAACAGAGGCGAGCTCGGGAGCATCATGGACAGGGGTCGCAGTGTCACTGCCATCGGCGTGCTCGACGCGAAGTGCGCATGGCTCATTAAGGACGAAGACCCAAGCAACAACGATAGTCTCACAGCGATCCACTCTGCGACGCTGATCGCTGGCTGTCGCAAGGCTTTTCTCAAGGATCCTACCAAGCAGAACAAGCAGGTGCATATTGCGATCGCGAACGGCATAAATCATTGCAAGCTGTACTCGCGCCGCATCCACGAGTTCCCCGAATGCCTCGTGAAGCTCAGGGACCTTGGGGACCTCGCGAACGACATCGCGACCTCTACAGCACCGTTGGAGATGTGGAGATCGACTGCTGCCGTCGATGCCGAGTTCAAGCGGCAGGCCGGCAGTAAAAGCTGGGCAATCCAATCCTGTGGTGGGCAGTAAGCGCGGCGTCAGCTGAAGTGGGAAGTGGCAGATGCTCTCTACAAGGGGCGGTGGGCAAACCCTACGTCTTGCAATGTCTGCCAGAGGGGCTACAACTTCCTCGAGAAAACGTTCCGCCCTCTTGATGCGAGGCATCCTTACATGCACGCGCCACACGTTTGCGGGGAAGTCTGCGTGGGAGGGGTTGCAGTATAAGACATCGACGCTTGCAGACTTCAGCAAGATGCCAATACATGAACCTGGGCTTGTTTCAGATCGTCACAGATGCGTTCAGGATGCTGAAGCACGAGACTGCCTACATCGCGGGCATCATCATGCTTGCCATCCCGAGGGTTGTTGACAGCAGAAAATGTGGTGCGATTGGGGCGAATGGGGGTGGCTGGGGCCAGTGCCAGATATGCCCGCAGTCGCTGCCCATGCTCAGAGCTGTTCGCGACGACAGCCTCGAGGCCCTCGAGCAACCGACGGGCTCGACGTCGGGCGCGCAGGCGGAGCTGGAGAAAAGCAAGAGAGCTCGAGCCGAGAAAAGCGCTCAAACCAAGAAAAGCAAAGACAGGGGCCAAAAGTGGAAGGCTGACGAGATAGAGCCGATCGCTAATGACGCCGACGAGGGCGCGGACCCTGACGTCAAGAAGGCGCAATCGTTCGCGGAGCATTTACGAGGGCAGTTCCAGTACCTGCTCAATTTGGACATCGCAGGCAAGCAGAAAGCGACGACCCACAACTTCTGCCACATCGCGCTCTTTGCTCTCGTCAACCAGTCAGCGCCACTATGCACCAACAGGAAGGCCAAGTCGATTACCGAGTGGTCGAAGCTGAGGGTCGCCTTCAAGACAGGTCTGCAGGTCTAGCAAGTTTGCAGTCAGGCCTAGCGACGTGGACCACATCGGCATCCTCAAGGGGTACCGAAGAGAACATGGACGACAAGGCTACTCTGGATGCGATTGCCAGCGAGACGATTGCATCGAACATCGAGGCGCACAATGAGATTGCGGCCGGCCTGTTGCTGTTTCTGGGGGGCGCCCAGCCAGAAGCGATCCCAATCGTTGCATCTGCGCGCGCTGGAAAATACGATGAACTTGGCCATGCTCGCCTTGCTGCAGAAGGTCACTTCCAGTGGTGGGTTCTTCAAGAACCACCGCGAGGCGCGCGTGGAGCCGGTTGCCACGACGTGCAACGAAGTCTTCGCAATGACCCCTTCGTCGCGGGATGCATCTGCTGAGTTTGTTGTAAAAGTTACTCATGCTGATAAGGTGGATGCCTTCAAGGGCGCCCACTTCGAACAGCTATCAGCGTTTGGCGACGTCGTGGGTTTGTTGTTCAAGATGCGCATCTCGACTTTCGCGCGCTGCCTGAAGTCTCTGGGTATTCAGCGTTTCAATTGTCGGGGCCCTACTTCACGCGAGACGAAGCAATGCGTTTATTTACCAAACATGCTCTTAACGACGACTGAGCAGCTCTACGACGCCAGCGACTGGACAGATGAACGCACGATGCGCGCTGGCCCTGCCGTGCTCCGGGAACTCATGCAGCTGTTCAAGGGCGGCCCAACCGACTTCTTCAAGGACGTCTACTCTAAGGCCTTCGACATGTGGGAGTTTTGCAATGCCCATGTTGCTTCAGGGTTTTGGGATCGGCGCAGGCAGAGCCATGGGCCGAAGCCTGCCCTTGCCCCCCCCGAAACCCTGGAAAGTCTGATTTGTTTGTTTTTGGCGCATGTATGGGATGATCGCTATGAGCTCGAGTAGTTTCGATAACAATCAAGTTATACGGCATCTAGCACTTGTGTTGTATATAAATCCTTGTGTGCCCAAAATGCTGGGCACCTTAGAGTTATCGTGGCCGGTCTGCGTGGCTTCTATCGTTTTTTCTTTGCGTTTATTGGACTACCGCCACAAGATGTGCATGTGGGGGGGGGGGGGGGGGGGGGGGGGGGGAACAGAGGTGGGCCTCTCTCTCTCTCTCTCTCTCTCTCTCTCTCTCTTTCTCTCTCTCTCTCTCTTTCTCTCTCTCTCTCTCCTGCTGAGCGAGGGGCGTTCCAGTCTCTTGTGGAGAAGCTCTCCTCTGTAAAGATGCTGGAGCATTTTGAGAAGGGGGGCTACCCTGCCCCTGCTGGTTCTCTTGGGGCGTCGAGGGCCGACGTCTTCCCAGCTGATCGCCCGAAGAATATCAGCTCGGCAATGAACGCTTACAGCCGCAAGCATAAGGACGAACTCGAAGCCTACAATGAGGTCAGCGACCCCATGGCTGCGATGATTCGGTTGCTGGACAACAGGCCAATCAAGGGGTCTGTTGTGGCCGCGTCTGCAAAAGTCACTGGCGATGGCAATGCCAATGCTGAGCCAATCGTCGCTACATTGAAAGCTTGATGGCAGAATGCTGTCGCAAAGAAAAGGAATCAAGAGCTATATCAAGCGGTGGGTCACTCAGCCGGTGCAGGGCGAGATGAACAAGCGAATGGTGAACTGCTGCTACGTCGACGCCAACAAGGCCGTTGGCGACGACACGTCTGAAAACGACACTGGCAGCACGTGCAATCTCGTTTTGCATGGGGTCACTACTACTGTTGGTGACGAGGGGGGCAAGAAGGGCGTGGACGAGAAGGAGGATAAGAAAGGCCCGAAAATGGATCTTCGTTGTTCCCTTGCTGTCAGAGGCGGCAAGTGTGACCTGCCGTTCTTTGGCAGAGTTATCGAAGAAGGCCCAGCTCAGCACATGGCAAAGCAGACTATTTTATTCTTGGGTAGTGGTAACGATTCGTCACCTTTGCCATTGTACACTGATGGTTCTTCTTTCGTGAATTCGTTGAAGAGCGACTGCTGCATCGCTTTCCTGGTGCCGATATTGCCAATTATCAACGACAATGACAAGCCGAGGGACACTATTGCCGAAGGCGAGGTGGCATCGGCAACTGCGATCGCACCGGCAACAGAAGATGCGACAGCACCAGTCAAGTCGAACAAGAAGCCGAAGAAATAACACATCACCACACACAAAATCACTTAGAACGATCTCATCTTCACCGGCCTACACGGCGACATCTGGACCTACAAATTGCCGAGGCTGGTGGATGCGGACAACGACAAAGGCAAGCTGATCGAGACCCCCCTGCACCGAGAGCCTGTGCCTTTTGACTTCAAGGAGGCCGCCGCGAAATCTGGGGCGGCTAAGGTTTCTTTCGCTGCGAAGTGATAGTGTTCAATATATATATGTTTATTCGGGCCATGTGCTCGGAGTAGCACGCTGCTGCAGCATAATGGTTTAGCTGTGCTTTGGGTGCCTCTCGCGAACCTCTTAGGATATTGCGATATCAGTTTGCGTTTGCTTCAGCGGTGAAGTTTGCACAGCCGTCAATAGTAACAACTCGCAATCGATGTCGCAATCGGTAACCGTAATCGTAATCGTAGCAGTAATAGCGCTTGTAGTAGTAATAGTAGTTGTACTAGTAATTTGACTTGTGTTGTTGTGGTCGTGATAGTGATAACCGTATTAACATTGACACCCCACGCGAATGGCAACAACGACACCACCACCACCGACAACACCACCACCAACACCAACAACAACAGCAATAACACCAATACCAACAACGATAGTAGTAATACGACTGATGCAACGCATGATACAGATAATGACGATACTAACAATATTGCTGAGATTACGAGTCTTATGCACAACAGGTGCCATAAACATGATGCTATACATGTATAGATGTACCGATAGTTAGTCAGGTGGGCAAGTATATAATTATCATCAAATGATGATAATGGTAATGATTAGGATGCTGACAATGATAACGAGAATGATATTGATAATATAACGATAACGATAATTCTAAAGCACATGCGAATAACATCGGTGGTGTTCGCGTGCTCGCAGTGGTGGCCAACTTTCGCAGGGATGGCACAGGGCACTTGGCCCAGTGCCAGCTTTAGAGTTCGTAGCTGCTCGGCTGGGGCCCAGGCGTGCAGCTTCCCTCGACCGCAGGACCGACAGAAAACCCGCCCTGACCCTCTCATCCACCGAATACGCATTCATGTTAAGAGCGGTCGGGAGCTGGTTGCCTGGTCCCTGGGGGCTGATTTAGTTTTTCCCCTTCATTGGGGGACTTGGCAGGATTTGGCGCTGACATGCAAAACCACTGCACGAACGCCATTACCATTGCCATCGCACGAACACCATTACCATTGCCATCCTTCCACTTACCATCGCTGCGACCCTACCCTAAGTACCTTACCTGAGCCCTAACCCGAACCTCAATCCCAAGCCCAAGCCCAACCCCAACGTCAACCCAACCCCAACCCTAACCCTACCCTACCCTACCCTACCCTACCCTGCCATACGCTTCTAAGACGAACCTTGGCATAACAAAACATGTTTCAGGCTCAGGCGGACAGATATCAAGCATCAACCTTGGCATAACAAACAAATAAGGTTCAGGTGGACACAGTTCAAGCACCATAGATGTGTATTGCGGTATTCGCCAGTTTCCTTTGAGCGAATCGGCGTTTTGTTCAAATCCTCATGGGTTGGGTAAGGGCTTCCGGCAATTTGTTATCAAGCCTTCTGGGAGGTGGGGCGCGTGCGATTTCAACCCTGAGGGGTGCAGAGCAAAGCCAACACAGTGAAATTGAAACCTCCTTTGGCTGGCCAGACGAAGGACATGTATCTTCCCAGAGGTGCCCCTGGCCCGACAATTCCCAGGATTTCCAGGGAGGCCCCCGTGAGGTCCAGTGCACCCCTCGCGAGGCCCGGAGGGCCCCTAGAGGGGGTTCGAGATGAAGGGAAAAGCTCGAGACACTTGGGGCCAGGGGCGCCTTCGCAGACATCCGACGATGCGTGTTGTTCAATCCGTGGCCCCAGACCTCCCGACCTCTTCCCCAGGGGTCGTGTTCGTCTTGGGTCCGTTTTTGATAGTCCCAGGGGCCGACAACGGACCCTCGAGGCCGAAACCGGTGAAAACCGCCAGGATTGGAAATACTCATATCGCTGGAGTTCTGGGTTGGCCTCCGAAACGTGATGGAAGCACTCGTCCTGATTGCTATGATGGTGGCGTTCGTAAAAGAATTTGCCCAGGAGGCTTCCGGCCCTGGTTGGTTCATTATCTTTGGAGGGCGGCGGTGATATCCATGGCCAATCCACGATAGGAGTTCCACTGGCTTCCAGGATCCAGATTCCTTATCCCATCGTTCCTTATCCAATGCCTCACCGTATAGGACGATGGACGTCTGGTCTCTGCGCTGCCCCCCAGCGAAGGACTTGCGGCGCGGCCGCGGAGAGCGGGGACGCCCCGGCAACCAGAGCCCCGAGCAGGTTGTCGCTCGGCCTGCGATCGTCGCGCGGCAGCGCGGACTACCCTGACCCGGTGGTGGAGGATCGAGACTGGCATCAAGGAGGAGGGGGAGGCTCGAGGATAGATTGTGTTAATGGACGTTTTCTTCGCCTCTCGTCGCCACGGCTGGACTCGTTTCGAATTTCTAGACGCTTTGTGTAAGCCTCTGGCCCATCCAGAAACGATGCTCAGGCGAGTTGTCCTAATCAGGGACGTGGAGTAGCATGCAGTGGAATAGCGGGCTGGGGAAGCCGTCATGTTCCAAGAAGGGGAGGACGCAGCATGAGAGAGGAGGGAGGAGGAGGAGGAGGAGGAGGAGGAGGAGGAGGAGGAGGAGGGGAGGAGGAGGAGGAGGAGGAGGAGGAGGAGGAGGAGGAGGAGGAGGAGGAAGGAGGGAGAGGGGAGGGGGAGGGGGAGGGGAGGGGGAGGGGAGGGGGGAGGAGGAGGGGAGGAGGAGGAGGAGGAGGAGGAGGAGGAGGAGGAGGAGGAGGAGGAGGAGGAGGAGGAGGAGGGGGAGGAGGAGGAGGAGGAGGAGGAGGAGGAGGAGGAGGAGGAGGAGGAGGAGGAGGAGGAGGAGGAGGAGGAGGAGGAGGAGGAGGAGGAGGAGGAGGAGGAGGAGGAGGAGGAGGAGGAGGAGGAGGAGGAGGAGGAGGAGGAGGAGGAGGAGGAGGAGGGGGAGGAGGAGGAGGAGGGAGGAGGAGGAGGAGGAGGAGGAGGAGGAGGAGGAGGAGGAGGAGGAGGAGGAGGAGGAGGAGCGCAGGAAGAGGAGGAGGAGGAGAGGAGGAGGAGGAGGAGGAGGAGGAGAGCCGTGTGTCTCCTCGGGGGCGGGCGTTTGGGAGGCGACGGGGCTGGGGCCGGCCGGGGCCGGGGCCGCGGCCGGGGCCGCGGCTGGGGCCGCGGCCGGGACCAGGGCCAGAGCCGGGGCCGAGGCCAGGGCCAGGGGGCTGAGGCCGTGGCCAGCGGGACTGGGGGGCCAGGGCTGGGGCAGGGGCTGGGGGCCAGGGCCAGGGCCAGGCCGGGCCAGAAACGGGACTGGAGCGGGGGCCAAGGCGGGGGCAGGGGTCCTGAGGGAGACCACCACTTTTGCCGCGTCCTGCGGCTTTTCTTGGCCGCCGAACCGCCCGAGGGGGAGTCGTATCTGCCCCGGGACCCGAGCCCCGGGACGCCCCCCCCCCCGGCGGGGAAGGGATCAAAGGGAAGGGGCTTCCCTTCGACTCAATTACAACGTTGCTAAACTACGAGTCAAACGGAGCAGCCTCTCTCCACACGCCGACAGGGTCGGCGGATATGGATCCATTTTTGACGGTCCCTGGACCAAATGAAGGCCCCCGCACGCCGAAAATTGCCAAATCCTTCCGTCGCGATTCTTCATCCGGGGAGGTGGGGGTCCTTCCCTCCTTCCTTCCTCCGAGCCCCCCTCTCGGTCGTTGTGGACCCCCTCCCGCCCCGCACCACCGAAAGCCCCGTCGAGGACGAGACGCCGGCCACGGGCGAGGGCGTCGATGTCTGGCGGGCGCGTTTCCTGAAGGTGCAGGACCCCGACGACGACGGCGACGACGACTCCCATCGGAGGGAGAGAAGGACGATGGAGAAGGGGATGGGGGAGAAGGAACGTGAATCAAATTGGCAGCAGCACTCGTAGGAGCAGGACAAAGGAGGAACGTGACGTGGAGGCAAGGAGTTGGAGGAGGATGAGGAGAAGATGGAGGAAGAGCCGGGGGAGGTTGCTGATAAACGGTGGGTGGTTGGGAAGTGATGGGGCGGGACACGGGGAGGAGGGAAGCGAGGGGGAATGGAGATCAGGAGCAGGGGCAGGAGGATGAAGAGGAGGGGGGCGAAGGCGGCGGAGGATGAAGAGAAGGTAAGAATAGGATGATGATGATGATGATGATGATGATGATGATGATGATGATGATGATGATGATGATGACGATGATGATGATGATGACGATGATGACGACGACGATGATGATGCTGCTGCTGCTGCTGCTGCTGCTGATGATGATGATGATGATGATGATGATGATGATGATGATGAGGACGAGGAGGAGGAGGAGGACGGGTAGATGCGGAAGCGATGGTGTGGGTGGGAGGTGGGAAGTTTGGGGGGAACGTGGGAGAAAGATGAGCAGGACGGGGAGGAGGGGCGTAAATATTGGAGCCTGGAAGATAAGGAGGAGGAGGAGGAGGAGGAGGTGGGTGAGTGTGAGGGTGATGATGATGCCTATTATGATGATTATGATTATGATTATGATTATGATGATGATGATGATGATGATGATGATGATGATGATGATGATGATGATGATGATGATGATGATGATGATGATGACGATGACGATGACGATGATGCTGAAGATGCTGATGATGACGGTGATGCTGCTGCTGATGATGAGGGCCCCGGAGCCCTTGAATTGGCCAGAATCACTAAACCAGGTCTGCCGCAGCCGGTGTTTTTCCGGGTGACGGCAGATCCGGTTAGCGGAACGGGGCGGAGGGGCGTCCACCAGTACACATCCTTAAACCAGGTCCCACTAAACCCAGTTCTGCCAACGCCCGACATGTGCCCTTGCACATTGAAGCCTGAACCGCTTGCGGGGCCGCCGCCTCGACCCCTGGCCGCGCAACGAGTTCTGCCCCCGCCGCGAGCGCCTCTGAGCAGTGGGCAGAGAAGCCCGCGTCGGAGCATTGAGTTTGTGGATAATCCCCTGCTCGCGTGAGAGAATGCGTGGGCTATGCAAGCCGATCGCGTTGCAAACCATGAGCGAGCTCTCAACTAGGAATTGCCGCCACTTGCGATACTTACAATACAAAGCTTATTCAGTGCCACCTCGTCTGTAACATGTGACTTCTCTGCTCAGAAAAACGACGACATAGACCAGCAATCAAACTATGGGGCTGTCCAGCGCGAAACTTGACGATTCTGCTCCCGCCTACTTGCCAATACCTGTGCAGCAAGCTAAACTGAGAATAGCAGCAACCTGGTGCTGGATTTGGGGAGCACGGCTCAAGTAGACATGACCAGAGGCGTTCCAACTGCTCGCGGGTCTCTTGCACGTTGTCCCCGAAAGCACCGGAGAGAAGAAAGGATTGCACTGGCAACGGCCACGTTTGGACACTGTGCCTGTGACCTGTTGCCTGGGATATAATCGGATCGCCGTCAAACCTGACACATGATTGTAAAACAAGTGCAAGGGGCACGAGGAGAGGGTGGCGCCTGCAAATGGCGAAAGCTTGTTGGGAAGATCCACGATATGAGCACGGATATGCAAGTTTGCAGGGTCCCTGCATATGGAAATTCCAGAGGCTTCAGAACCAAGTCGATGAAGAAACGTCGAAGTAACGGGAGCACAGCTGCATTTTGCAAATCAGCGGGCACATCAAGACCACATACGCCAGCACAAAGGATAACGCAGCTTCGAACACCACGTGCGGATACGTCGCTACGAGACCTGTCTTCAGCTCGACATCTCTTCGCAGGAGACTCACAATATTAAACATCGAGCACCAGGAAGAAATGTCAGTCCCAAGTATACTGAAACATTGGTTTGCAATTTATATTTGTGTATTGTCGTCCCAACACCGCATATATGGAATTCGGGCCAGCCGAGACGAGCACTTGCTAAGGATGATCTTCTTGCTCGAAAGGAGCAGACATCCTCGCAAAAATCGCCCCACGGGCCCCCAGCGCGCCCCCAAGGACCATTCTGGGGATGCACCGGGCGCGCTGGGCGAACCGGGCGTGTCCCAGTCGGGCGCTCTCGATCAAGACATCCTCGCAAAAGTTGCCCCACGGGCTTCCAGCGTGCTCCCCCACGGGCCCCCGGCGCACCCCTGGGACTAGGGATGCGCCGGGCGCGCCAGGCGCACCGGGCGGTCCCAGTCCAGCGTGCTCGCTCGAGACATCCTCGCAAAAATCCTCCCAGCCGGGCCCCCAGCGCACCCCCAGAGACGATGTCCAGGGATGCATTGGGCGCGCTGGGCGCCTCGGGCGTGTCCCCATCTGGCGTTCCGCTTGAAACAAACACCTTTGCAAAATCGCCCCACGGGTCCTTGCCGCGCCCCCGGGAAGAAGGAGGAGAAGGAGAAGGAGCAGGAAGAGGAGGAGGAGGAGGAGGAGGAGGAGGAGGAGGGGGAGGAAGAGGAGGAGGAGGAGGAGGGGGGAGGAGGAGGAGGAGGAGGAGGACGAGGAGGAGGAGGACGAGGACGAAGACGAGGACGAGGACGAGGAGACGAGTGAGCAGGGAGGAAGACGAAGGAGGACGGAGAAGGGAGGAGGGAGGAGAGAGGAGGAGGAGAGATCGAGAATGCGAATTGTGATGCTGAGGAGGAGGAGGAGGAGGAGGAGGAGGAGGAGGA